TGTGATGCTGAGTGGAGTTTAAGAAGTCTTCACTGACGCCTGACTGCAGTCCATTTTCCACTTCACAAACTGAAGCTGGAATCAGTTTCCTGTTCCTCCCATCCAGTCCTTCCTGAACTCACTCCCCCCCCGGACCCCCCCACCGAGAAATGTGACTCCAATGTCAGGATATTTTCATCACCGAAGGACGAATCGAGAAAATATTGTTAGTTTATCTCATCTCTCATGTTCCTTTTGCTGTGGGCCCCCTGCAATAGCTCTGTGCCACCTGAGTGGCTCCCGCCCCCCATTTTGGGAATTTCTAAATTTAAATATCCAAGCTCCAAACTTTATCAACAAAATCTTTTTTTTTTCTTTTCTTGAGTTCCATTTCCACCGTGTCCTTCCTGCTTCAGAATGACATCAGATCCAGTCAACGAATATTATTATAAGTTCACGGGCAACACAGTGGCCGGGTGGTTAGAACACTTGCCTTACAGTAAGAAGGTCACTGGTTCTAACTGCTGGACTTTCTGTGCAGAGGTCAATTCTTTCACAGCTTCTCCCCACCGTGTGAATGTTAGTGTGAATGTTAGTGTGAATGGTTGTTTGTCCCGGGTTTAAACCCCGCCTCCTCCCAGACGATGAACTTTTAAAACTCCAGTCTGTATTTCTGACAACAAACCTCCTCCATCCTCACCCATCCTCTCTCTCTCTCTCTCTTGCTCTCTCTCTCTCTCTGTCTCTCTGTCTCCCCCCTACCTGTCGACCTTTTTTCCGTGTTGTGTTGAGGAAGAAGCGTCTCCGTGCATCCCTGCTGTTTTCTGTCCAGTTTTTCTCCCAGATGAATTCTAAATGCATGCCTGGAAACCTTTGAAAAGACTTTGACGTGGACCTGGAACGAAGGGAAGTTCCTCTCCGCTGCCTTCATCTACTTCCTGTCCCGGTCAGAGTGGGACACACACACACACACACACACCTGTTTGGACTTTCTCTGCTTCTGTCACTGATGTTACACGCAGCGGTGCTGATGTTGAGTCGCCTCTCGCACAGCAGCGACCCCTGGCGGCTGTTTGCAGTATCATCTTCTCAGCCAGGTGTCGGTGACGGGTTCTTGATGTAGCCGTGATCGGTATCAACTTCAAATACAGTACTGTGCAAACGTTTTAGGCAGGGGGCCGTACGTGTTATGCCCCCGCCCCACCTTTTTTTTGCAGACTTTTTTCTTTTTCTGGTGTTTAAATGTGGAGAAGCAGAAGATCATTCTCAACAACTCTTCTGATTCTCTACGTTTGATCTGAACACCGATGACTTTCCCAGTACTGACACTGGTTTGACAGTTTGTCAGACAACAGTTTGTCTGTTCATTATCAGTCTGTTCTGTTCTATTCTTGTCATTCTGCTGTGCCTTCTCCAACTCCTGCTGCAGATGTTCAAACTCAGAAAAAAAACAAAACAACTTTTTCTTTTCTTTCTTTCTTTTTTTGGCGATGCAGCTTCTCGCTGACCTTTGACACTTTTGCTGTAAAACCGCGTCCATGTGACTGTTCAGGGAATGAGAAGGTGATGAGGTCCGAGGTCCCGGGTTAGTGACGAGTTACTGCTGTTTGTTCACTGTGCTGAGGCAGAGAATGAAGAAGGGATGAAGGCAGCAGAAGACGAAACACGTCCCTCCGTTCAGGAGTGAGGAAGATGCTTTTTAACCTGATGCTGCTGGATGTTTCATTTTATTTCTCTACCATGGACAGAGAGGGAAAAGAAATTATATTAAAAAAAAGATCATATAAAGAACTGTACAAAATATATTTCAGTGGAATGTTTATTATTTACCTTTTCTATTTTTGAAAAAAATGTAGAAGAAAAATCCTGTAATAAATCAACAGCATTTGTGAAATGAAAAAAAAAAACAACGACAGATCTGTTGTTAAAATGTATGAAGGTTTGACTGTGAATGCTTGAATTACCTGAGCAACTCTCCTTCTTTACTAGTAGGATAAATAAAAAGCAGAAGAATAATATTTAAAAAAAATTATAAATAAACAAAAACACACACACACGAAAATACTTGGGAAAAGAGTTGAAAATATTTTAAGGAGAAAATCACACAAAAAAAATTATAAAACATTAAAAGCTTATGCCAAGATTTTCTATTTGTGTCCGTGCCTGTGTTTGTTGGACTATTTTCTCACGCGGCTACTTATACTGCAGCCATGTTTTGTTTCTGATGACGTCGTGCTACGCTACACCCCCTCGTGGACGTACCAGAGCAGCTCAACACCTGAATCACGTAGTAGCAGGTTACTCGACAAAGTTTCTACCTTTTCTTTTTATTTTCTTTCATCTCTTTAACGATTGTTGAGCGATGTGGACACAGTTTACACAAATTATTTACCAATAAGTGTCGGTAATGCAGCTCACGAAGCTTAAATAAGGGTAAAAGAAGTAGCAAAGCGTAGGCTGTTAGCAGAGTTAGCGTGACTTAGCATTTGGAAAGTAAAGCTAGCGCCGATAGCATGCTAATTGTTTTCAGCTCCGTACGTTTTCAGGCATAGTCATACTAAAACTGCCAAAGAAACGCAGTTTTCTTTTTCAATGACACAAATTAACCAAAAATAAACAATATAATTGTCATTTCTAACATTAAAACATTAATAATAATGTTAAATGTCTTGTTTTTTGGTCAGGCGTTTGTAGAATCTGTAGAAACAGTTATTCTGATTACGACACTAATGTCTTAACCCTTTTAGTCAATTTAATTTAAAATAAACTCGCAGATAAGATGTTTTTAAGCTGGACTTCTTTATTTGAAAAACAATGTAGCAGTTATAGCTGTAGCTCTTTTATATATTGTAATATATACAATATATTATATGATTATATTTACAGTCAAGTTTGCTGAAAACCTTGTGACACCCGGAGTCTGCGGATGCCCACCCACCCCAGAGGAAAAACATTCGAGAGAGTAAGTTACATACTATTTCATTACGTTTATTCAGTTGTTTTTATTGTTCTACTGTAATTACTATTGTTGGTGTTCTGTTTGTGTTGTAGTACTTCCAGCTACGACCAATAATGTAGTACTTACAGTATTGGTCGTACTAGTAATATTGTGGTAGTATTTTTTTTATTATTTTGTCATCATATATTAGTACAGTAGCGATATATCTGTGGTTATTATGATACAGCAGGTGGTCTAAAGTTACAACACATGGCCACTAGAGGGATACAAAGCGCCACTTGTTAGCTGAGGACATTATCGACAGGCTTTTTTTCCATACTGTGCTGAGAAGTAAAATATAAATTCATACTGGGACAGGATGTGGAGATTCCCTCCACAAAACAAAACTTAAATAATAATTTATTAAAAAGCATATAATTCTACTTATAGTGCACTCTTCCAATGCAGCGACACTAAATCCAGTCCAGTCCATCTATTTACCATTTATACTTTAATATACAATACCATCACAACTCATTGTGAAACTAAACAACTTTAATATAAAATACCATCACAACTCATTGTGAAACTAAGATTTACATCAGCACCTCTGACCTGGTGACCTGTGATCAGACAAACACGTCAACAACAGCACTGTAAATACCTGATATGGAGTTGTTCATTTACTTATTTGTCCACATTTATCTTTTCTCTAACACGGTACGTTTCAGTATTAGTGTTTATGAAACTGTGAATCTGTGAATGTGACTCCACATAATGTGCTGTGCCAAGGGTTGAGAAACGAGTAAACATTTAGTAGATTGTGCAATTTTTGTTTTTCAAGAATTTAAAAACAGATCGAGTAAATGAAAGAATAATTGTCAACAATATTAAACATTTCCACCCCCTCTTATTTGTATCCAGGATATGGGGTGGGGGTGGGTGGTTAGGGTGATTTCAGACTCTATTTTATTTATTTATTTAGTCTTAGTGTGTACATTCAACTGTTTGTTTTGTCTAGTCTGTGGACGATGTCATGGTTGATGCCCCCTTGCTGTGGTCAGCAAACAATCTGAGATTAGAATCTGGGTGTTTTCTTAAAAAAGGCTAGGGTTCGGGGGGGGGGTGCAGGATTGTTTTCTACCGTTGAATGATGTTCTTTACAGATATAAGATCATGGTGCGGGTGTGTGTTTGACCAAATGTTTTGTATTAACACAGAAAAGGAAAGTCTAGGAAAGTCCCACAGATAAAGTTCTATGGCGCCTGGATGAGTTTTTATGACTGTTTTCTGCAGTGCGGCTGTGACCTGTGAATCCACGGACACATTATCACTGACTCTAATTTTCTGTCAGTTTCATCTGATCTGTCAAAGTTCAAGGTTAATTTAAAAATATATATATATTGCCAAATATTTACTGTTGGAGATCCACACAGACCTCACAGGCTGCAGAGTCAGACTCAAACACAATCTTAAGCTTCAGTCCCATCATAAAAAAAAATTCTCTGATGACGTCATGCAGGGGGCAGTAAAGAGGCCAGGACATTATGTTTAGTGGAGTTTAATCCAGGTGGTTATGAAAGATGCTGAGCCTGTGAATTAGTCCAGGAAAATCTTTAGTGCATTTGACCTACACACACACACTCACACACACACAGATGACCAAAGTCCATGTCTCTGCCCTGATACTGTTGTGAGGTGTTCCAGTTCATACACACACACATACACACACTTAGATTATGTAACTCTTCCTTTATGGCGCCCCCTTTGGCCTGACTTGATAAGTCTGTGCAGCAAAACCTAAATTCAAACACAGCCTAAATTTCAATGTAAACACTTCAGAGTCTGAGTGTGTTTGTGTGTATACGTGTGTGTGTTTGTCAGGTTTTCAAAAAGTGAGGATTGGAGATTGACTTTCACTATAATTTGACCACAAGAGTGAATGAAAGTGTGAATGTCTCTGTATGTGACCCTGTTGTGGGCTGGACAACTATAGGGTGGGGGAGGAGGGGCAGGGGTGTGGCCCCCCATTCTCAGCCTGTGAAAATGAATCAATAAAAACACAAAGAGAAGAAAATGTGAATTATTTTCCACATTTTTTTAATTATCATTTTCAAACCCGTCTTTATAAAAATATAGAAATTCAGAATAAACAGAAATTTCACAATCAAATTCAGGCACTTCATACAAATACACAGTGTCCTGGTCTCCTTTATATACTGTATACACATATTATATATATATATATATGTATATATATGTACAGGTACATGCAGTATGTCATATAGAATTCACAGTAAAATCACAACAGATAAGATTTCATTGATTCAACAAAACCAAACTTTAACCCAAGATGAATAATCAAGTTGTGGCTGTGGATAAGACACACACACACACCTACACACACACACACCTGTTAATCCCTAACCCTACTGTAGCAGCAGAATGTGTGTTTACCTGCATCTTAAGATAAACCTGAGTAAAAACGACGACACGTCGACTGAGTGACAGACTCACAACGGAAACATTGGAAAAAAACATCGTGTCATTATTCCAAGATACCCTCTTACCCCCCCCCCTTCTCCTCCCCACCATTTTCCACAGCTGTTGTTGAGGTAACTGTTGTGAAAGGACAGTTAGGTGAAGATGTGTGTGTGTGTGTGTGTGTGTATTTTTTGTGTACTGTTGTCTGGTCCTTCAGTGTGTACAGTATCAGGACTTGGTGCGTTTTCTGGCACAGAATTTCTTTAGGCAAAAAAATAAAATAAGCAGAAAAAAACAGCATTAAGGACAAAAAAAAGAGACGATAAAACTTTTTTCTACTTTGCTCTTCGTTAGGACAAAATGAGACGAGGAGGAACAAAACTTCATCTCTGCAAGATCTTCAGTTTATAAAAGAAAACATTGACAATTCAGACAAATTCTCTGATGAAACCATTTCTTCTTCTCTCTGTGTTCATTGTTTTTTTTTTCATCACTTTGTTGGGAGCTACAGTAACTTTGACTTTTTTTCATATCTTGCAGAGATGTGAGTATTGATTTCTCCATGGTCTCAACGGCTAATGAAAAAATCTCCAGCTGATATTTGACATATTTGTTACATCGTGTTTTTCTCTCTGATTCTCTAACTCCACGTCAGGACGTTAGAAGCTAAATTCACACCTGTGAGGAGCGATCGAAGCTGATGTTGGTCAGAAATGTCCGTCGTCTTTTGTTCTTCTGAATCTTCTCTCTCTCTCTCTCTCTCTGACCGTCTTGTTAATTCAGACTCACGTCCACCTTCTTCTTCCTCTTCCTCTTCAGCAGCAGACTTGTGAAGAACACAGGAGGGACGTTCTCTTAATCAAGAAGACTCCGTCACAGTCAGGACAGTGATTCGGGGCCTGCTGTCTCTTCTCCGGACCTCGGACCGGCCCTGGACCACAGTTTTGGTCCCACCGTGTCATTCCTTCACAGGTCAGTTTGTGGACACCTCATGAATTACTCGTAATCACGTTCACGCAACGTTTAAACACCACCACCACGGCCGAGTCACTTGGCCATGCGGTAGACGGCCATGTCCAGTGGCTCCTTGGAGGGCGTGCACCAATCATCTGCCTCCAAACTCAACTTGTAGTGACGCAGAGCTGTCTTGTTAAAAACCGGCAACCTCTCCACCGAGTCTGTGGACAAGGCCTGGAGACAGACAGGAAGTGGGAACGAGTACGTGTTAATTCAAGGTCTCCTCGTTAGCTTCACATTTATTTTTATTTTTTTTTGGGGTGAATAATATTTTACCTTCAGGTGAATGATGGCGTCCGTGCCGCACCCCTCCATGGAGTACAGCTGTAAATCCCCCTGGAAGTAACGAGCGTAGAGTCGAGAGATGGGCAAACCGTAGCCAAACCCTGCCTGCACACACACACACACACACACACACATTAGTACTATTCACTTCTCAGTGGTGTGTAAGTGAAAGGTGTGTGTTGCCGTGCAGTTCTGTACCAGTGGAGCTCTGTGTTTTTCTCCGTAGCTGGGTCTGGGGGCTGTGGAGTACATGTAGCTGAACAGACGCTCCGTCTTCCTGAAGGGGACGCCACCTCCTCTGTCACTCATCTGTGGACAGAAGAAGAAGAAAGAGGTGAATATACCTTATAATATATATAAGAGGTGAATAAAGAAGAGACTAAAAACCACTGTTTTTGAGGCCCCGCCCATAACACGTTTTGAAAATTTAAAAGTTATTTTTTAGTAGATAAAATGATATAATAAATCAGTACAATGTCCCCCACTACTGGACAAATAAAAAAAAAATACTAAAAGTAAATTTAATCTTCCTTAACGCGTCCCTTTGCAACAGCTCTGCGTCCCCTTTTGGAGGGGCCACCCCCTACTTTGGTAACCAATAGACTACAGAATACTTTATGTCTGTTCAAAATACTCACAAAATACATGTAACCATGTTTTTGTGTGTGTGTGTGTGTGTGTGTCCTCGGAGAATCCCCACAGCTGGGAGCAAAGGTCGCAGGTTATCAGCACCAGTCCATCCTGTCCAAATATGTGTGTGTGTGTGAGTGAGTGACAGGTGATGAATTAACTTGTATCTCAGTGGGTGGAGTGGGTTTATATCAGGTTAATAAACAGAGTTGAGTCGAGGACACGGATACAGCGCGTGTGCGTGTGTGTGTGTCTGTGTGTTCCCATATTTAGAACAAATTAGTTCCGAGCAGAGAAGAAGAAGAAAACACTGCCTCTGTTTGTGTGAATAATCAGATTATTTAAACACACACGAGGTGTTCGTCTCAGACTGGTGTGAGGAGATTATTGTACTTTTTAGTCTGAGGTAATTCTCACTGCTGCTATTCTGGGGTTATTGATCCGTCTTGAAGAACATTTGTTTCAGAGAAGGATTTAACATTCATTTTCAGGGCACAGATTTGTGACGAGAGGCTCCCAGTGACTCACTTTGATTGACAGGTCCTCTCCCCCCAGAGCGACCATGACTTTGATGGGCGGCAGGTGACTGCTGGCCTCGTGGTTCTCTAATGTGGCTCTCATGGAGTTCTGTAGAGAACAGACACAGTTGTTTATCCAGAACCACACCATAAAAACATATCATAAAAAATAATGAGCACCAATTTACAGCAGATAACAACAGATCTTCTCTCTGTCGCCGCGCGGACTGTTGACCTTCAGGTCAAACTGGATCAGAGTCAAATTGATCATTTACCCTGTGTTATATTTAAACCACAGAATTATAGAAACCCGGGCCGTGACTCTGGGTCTGATGCCATGATGTTTAATGGCGGCAGTTTAACCTTCACTCTCTTATGTAACTGCAGCTCATTCCACAGAGTGGACGCCATGAAACATCACGTAGGCTCATCTGAACTGGCCTGAACCGTCATGGCGACAGCCGCTCGCCTCAATGACCTCAAGTACTTCAGCAAATACACAGATAACCAGAAGGTCATTCAGAGCGGCGTTAAACACTTCACTGGAATCATTGGCCGTTTCCAGGCATCCAGGGTGTCGGCTCAGACTGAACGGATCCGGCCAAGATCAGTTCAGCCAGACCCGGCAGCCCTGGACCAGTGGAGCGGGTCACAGATGTTACATTGAAAAAAAAAAAAGTCTGTTTTGTTTTATCTCTGTTTAAATAGTTGAAGGCTTGGCAGGAGGTAATGAGGAGGGGGACTCAAGGGGGGGGGGTGTAGTGAATGTTTGTAGTGTTACCTTGAAGAGTTCAAAGACCATGTGGTACAGGTGAGATGGGATGTACGATATCTGGATAGGTTCTCTGGCACTGTTGGCTGGTGGAGAGAAAAGACACAGGATAGAGCGTCAGTACTGAGTGTTGGTACTGAGTGTCGGTACTGAGCGTCAGTACTGTTGGTTCACAGTTCAGTCAGTGATGAAAACAAAAACACAGTTGTGGGTTTAGTGTCTCACCATTGATCTGCCTCAGCTCCAGCTCAGGAGCTCCCAGGTAATACTGCTCACACAGCAGCTTGGCGCTCTCATAGGCATCTACACAGAATGGAATACATACGGAATATATTGATATATATATTTCATAGTGATCGATGTGTTAATGATGCATTCAGTTTGTCAATTTGGTTAGTTTTATGGTCTGCAACCCTTAGGTTTGTTTTTTTGAATACAGTTCTTATCAAAATTCAAACAGGAAGTGTGTCTCTTTACCTCGTACGATTTCCGTCACGTCACACATGGAGTCGATGCAGCCGATGGTGTGGGGGGGGGTGGGGGTGGAGTTGCCGTGGAAGACCAT